GATGAAGGAGTTAGTATGGAGCCCGAAACTTTGTCTCGAAATCAATAAAACTGACAGGAGAAGTCCACAGAGAACTCAGTTCACATTGTTAACGCACTATCTAAATCTATTTTTTAAAAGTGAATATATTATACATTAATCTTCGTATAACAACTTGAGTAATAGTGTAACATCTAACCAATCAGAAATGTTCATAAACGATGTATAACATTTCTAAACAAAGGGGAGTAATGGCCACCTCCGGACCTGATGATTCACTTTGAGGCTGAAGTGTGGCGTTAATCCTTAGGTTAATAAATAGTTCTTTCTGTTGTCGATTTGCTAAACATCCATTAAACTTGCTCTTTCGGCTAATCTGTAACGAAAGTCTTTAGCTTCCCGCCAATAATATATAAGTTAAGTAAAAGCTCAATTTGTATTTAGCTCCATAATTACAAAACGAAAGGAAGCGAAAATTCCACGACGCAACGAGCAGACCCTTCTTCTCCTCGCACAATAAGAAGAAATTAAATATTCAGTAACCAAATATGCGCAAGTGTTTGAGCTCAACGTTTCTACACGCAACTGTAGCTGTAAGTTTAATATATTTTTTTATTGATAATTACAATACTACGCAATTAGCTATCTATGCTCTGCCCACCGCGCATATCGAAACCCGATTTTTAGAGTGGTACGTTCTCAGACATACAGCTGAGCTGAGAGGGAGACAGCAAGTTTAATAATACATCAATAAGACCGAAATTAGTCATTTAGATTCCATGCGTGGTCAGGTATAAAAAAAAAGGCCAGGCATGACCTGATGGTTAATGTGCTTGGGCTGTGAATCCTAGGGCTTATGGTTCGTTTCTTGTTGCAACAAAACTCACATTATGTTTTGGGGCTGTAGGTGCGCTAAAAAAATTATGGTCAAATTCTACTATGCTCCCTCCCAGTTGCTCAGCGGTAAAGTCTGCGGGCTTACGACGCTAAAAATTGAGTTTCGATACCTGTGGTGAGCGGAGCACAGATAACCCATTGTGTGACTTTGTACTAACAACAACCAAAACAATATATTAAAAAAATCCTATTGTTCGGTAAGACAAGAGTGGATATTGTTGACTAGCTGGTTTCCCTATAGCTTATTAACTAAAAATTAGGGACGGCTTTGCGCAGATAGGCCTTGTGTATCTTTACGTGAGATTTCTAAAATAAGCAAAACGGTTTTAAAAAAAGCAAAAAGCTTTCTGTCAAGGTGCTAATATAATTCCATATACTGAACAGAAACTCAAATTGTATTATAGTCTGAATGCTTACATTCTATGAAAAGCGGCGGGTGTTATGAGGATATCTTAACCTGACGTTGATCTTTTGAACTTTCTACTCAAAAAGAATTTCAACAAATTAATATTTAGTGAAAAACCTACCGAGCTGAATAATTAATTCAAAAATTCAATAACAGGAACTTTTACGGAAAGCAAGTTCTGATTTTTGTGGTTACAACGTTTCAATCCTTAGTATCGGGTCATCATCTGGGTCGAAACGTTGTAACCACTAAAATCAGGGCTTGCCTACTGTAAAAGCTAACTCCAGTGGCTCAGTGGTAAGTCTATGGACGCTAAAAATTAGGTTTCGATACCCGTAGTGGGCACAAATAGCCCAGTGTGTAGCTTAAAAACAAACTAATTGTCATAGTTGTTGTTATTCCATTTTTGGATTTAAACAACATTGTCTTTTCTAAAAAAAAGATCCTTATTTTAAATACCCTTTATCATTAGTACATTGAAATGCATTACGCTTACGGTCTTACAACCTGTTAGAAACTTTTCTTTCATGAATACATTATTCAAAGTAGAGTAATAATATTCTGAAACTTCTCTCTATCTTAAGTGCATTATCAACTCTACTTTAGATGATACTTGATAGAAATGGCCATTGCAAATGGTATTTAACATGGATAAAAAGTATCTTGTTAAACACAAGATTCAGTTGTTTGCTGTTAAACGTGAAACTGCACGATGGACAAATTTGCCTCTGCTTATTCATAAACCAAGTCTACCCTTAAGTCAAATTACACAACTAAGTCTGTGAATGATAAAAAGGATGGTTTGTTTTTTGAATTTCGCGCAAGGCTACACGAGGGCTATCTGCGCTAGCCGTCCCTAATATAGCAGTGTAAGACTAGAGGGAAAGTAGCTAGTCATCACCACCCACCGCCAACTCTTGGGCTACTCTTTTACCAACGAATAGTGGGATTAACCGTCATATTATAACGCCCCCACGGCTGAAAGAGCGAGCATGTTTGGTGGGACGGGGATTCGAACCTGTGACTCACAGATTGCCAGTCAAACGCCCTAACCACTTGGCCATTCCAGGCCTGATAAAAAAAAGGAAAGCAATAACTAAGCAAATGAGGTTAGTATGCTGATTATGTTTTAAAGACTGTTTTTGTACAAGCTACAGACAGACGAAATTGTTATAAATAATTTATTTAAAGAATTCAGTTATATTTCAAGGTTGAAATGGTCTTCCAGTTGTAAGTTGTTTATGACTCTTAAAAATCTTTAATGGTTGGAAACATTATATTAACTTTAACTTGGGCACGATGAAATTTCTAAGCTTAATCCAAAGGACATCCAAGTGCTTTTTTTTGTTTCAAAGTGAATTTTTGTTATCCAATTAAGATTGAAGAAGCTCCCCCTTCCCTCTTACCAGTGTCTCGGCGAAAAGTCTCAAAGTTGATAACGCTAAAAACCGGATTTCGATACCCGTGGTGGGCACCGCACAGATAATCCATTGTGTAGCTTTGTGGTTAACTACAAATAAACAAATGAAGACTGCAGAAATAAGATGTAATTCAAAATGCTACTAAAATCTCATTTTATTTTACTGAGAAGTGTCAAACCAATTAATTCACGTTATTCTTTTAGATTTCGGTTTTAGTAAATCATTTCGTCGCATTTTGTTAGTGTTTCAGATTTAAAAACTCACTACAATTTCTTTTTGTTTAAATAATATACTAATAGTATTAAATAAATGTGTTCGTTCTCCAAGAAGAACGAGTCAGTGTGAACTAAACGGTAACAGAAATTTTCCTCTCCCTGTTTTTTGTCTCGTTTTTTTTTAAGTCCACAAATGAATCAACTTAGCTCTTTTGTCAGAGAGGACAGGTAACCATGGTTAACCAGGTTTTATTGATTAAATTCATCTTGGTTTCTAGATTAATAAAAAAATTCCGTTCTTTATTTCTGGCAGGAGTGACAGGCCTCAATGGTTTACCAAGGTGTTACTGGTTTAGTTCCATTTTGTTGTTTAAACAAGTGATAAATGAAACAACTTATATCTTTTGGCAGAGATGACAGCCCCCATTGATGTACCAGGTTTTGCTGATGTAATTCCAAATGTGACAGTAGCCCTGGGAAGAGATGCAGAGATTCCATGTGTGGTGGATAATTTGGGTTCGTACCGGGTAAGTTTGTGTGTTTAAAATCAGTTGTCACCGGATGTACAGTGTGGTTTAATGATTTTTTTTAGGGCGTGAAAGACTTTTAGAAGCTGGAGAAGCATAATATAACTAATTATATTTGTCATAAGCCATTATGTTAGGCCTATTATACTTTAAACACTGCGTTCCTAATGTAGTCCCTTACGGATTTTCAGCAATTAGAAAGGTATGTACTTATAGACTTTTCTAATTCTTGAAAATCTGTAAGAGACTATATTAGTAATGTAGTGTTAAAAATATAATAGGCCTGACATAATAACTTAAAGAATTGTGGGAAATTATGCAGAGATTCTATGGGTGGTTTATAATTTGGGTTCATATTCATCATAAAACCTTATAATTTTGCCACATAAACGCTGTAATCCATTAAACAGATTATCCATATTATTATATAAAAGTAAATCTTTAAGACACACTATACATCTAGTGAATACTGACTTTTAAACCTACACTTACTCGATTCTAACAAACATATCTTTTAACACGATAATTCATTCAGACACTATTACACCCAGAAAGTAATCTGAGTATGTAAAATACTGCCAAGAATTTTGTCATATTTTATTTTTGAATTGTACTCTGAATAACCAAAACAGCAATGACTAAAATAAAAATAGAAAATATTTCAGAATTAAAGGATGGATAGTCTCGAAAACGGTTCTCGATAAAGTAAAAGAAAAGAATATTGACCAGGAAGAGATTGTAACCTTAATAAATTTTTATTGGATGTGTATTTGATTATATACGAAAATTCAGACTTAAATATGTGTTTTTGTTTTATTCACTTTCTTCATTTTGCGTTAAATTTTAATACTGAAATCTGTTTAATGCAGTTCTGTTCGTGATGTGGATTAATTTTCTTAGTGTCCAAAAAATAGTTTGATCCATAGTATTGTCAATAAGATAAAACACTTGGCTTCATTGTGTAGGTGCAAGATGTGCTTGGCTAATAGACGAAGTAATAAGATAAAACACTTGGCTTCATTGTGTAGGTGCAGGTTGTACTTGGCTAATAGACGAAGTAATAAGATAAAACACTTGGTTTCATTGTGTAGGTGCAGGTTGTACTTGGCTTCATTGTGTAGGTGCAGGTTGTACTTGGCTAATAGACGAAGTAATAAGATAAAACACTTAGTTTCATGTGTAGGTGCAAGATGTGCTTGGCTAATAGACGAAGTAATAAGATAAAACACCTGGTTTCATTGTGTAGGTGCAGGTTGTACTTGGCTAATAGACGAAGTAATAAGATAAAACACTTGGCTTCATTGTGTAGGTGCAGGTTGTAATTGGCTTCATTGTGTAGATGCAGGTTGTACTTGGCTAATAGACGAAATAATTATGGATGGTTAATAAAGAAATAGAAGGTTGTCCAATTTAACAAGGTCACAATGAGTGCAAACTCACACACATTAATGTAAAAAAAAAAAAAAGTTTAAAGTGAACGTTTTATAATATGTAGTAAAATAAGCCTATTCCATTTCAGACCGCTTGGATAAAAGTGGAGACCAAGGCCATACTAACTATTTATCGCCACGTGATCACTAGAAATTATCGATATAGTCTTAAGGAAAGTGACGGCCGAAACTTCGTATTGCACATCACAGACGTTCAAGAATCCGATAGAGGGGGCTACATGTGTCAGGTTAACACTGTGCCGATGTTGAGTCAAGTTGGTTACCTTGATGTCCTCTGTGAGAAAATGTTTTTTTATACAGATCAATTGGTTTACTTATTCTTCTATCTGCCTGCCCACTTATCTCTTAGTAGTTGGATGAAACGTTGGCCAATGTTTATTTATTATTTTATAGTAATCTTAACTATTTTTATATTATGGGCCTTAGTAGTACAATTTGAGTACTAATTTTAGTTTGATTTTAAGCAATGTAGAAAGTGAATGGGGAGGTGGTAATGGTACAGATTTTACCAACCTAATATCTCATCATATCTGAAACAGTTTAGTTTAGGCCTACTTTATATGCCAACCCTGAAATTTTTAAAAACGAACATTTATTATGAGACTTGTTGTTTTTGCGAAATAATCATCTTTTGATGTTTGATAACGATTTCGGAAAATAATCGCACTAATTGAAATGGCTAGTTTTAATAAAATAGTTACTTTAAAGACTGCCCTCGTAGTTAGTATGCTTGGACTGCGAATCCGAGATTTCAGAAAGATCTTTGCCAAAAGATCGCACTCCGCATATTGGGCACGCTGTAAAATTGACGGTAAAATGATCTATGCGATGAGACAAGAAAAGCCTAAGAGTTACGTTAGATGCTGCCTTCCCTCTAGTCTTGTTTGTTTGTTATGGATTTCGCGTAAAGCTACACGAGGGCTATCTGCGCTAGCCGTCCCTAATTTAGCAGTGAAAGACCAGAGGGAAGTCAGCTAGTCATCAACACCCACCGCCAACTCTTGGACTACTCTTTTACGAACGAATAGTGGGATTGACCATCACATTATAACGTCCCCACGGCTGAAAGTGCGAGCATATTTGGTGTGATGGGGATTCGAACCAGCGACCCACAGATTTCGAGTCGAGTGTCCTAACCACCTGGCCATGCCGGCCCAAAAATAAACTAGGAATTAGATGTATACCAAAATCCGAATAATGATGTAAGCCTTTAGTGTCTCTTCTTTGCCTTCATGACATCTATATACTAAATGTACTTGCGCAGGGTCCCCGAAAGTATTGTCTTCCAAGAGTAAATAAAACCAAAATTAAGAGTAACAAATATTTTTCATTTCTTGCTTTTGAAGTTCATGTGCTATGCTGTGTTGTAGCCTACAGAGTGCATAATTCTTGGCCCGATGTTGCCTGATTAGGGCGCTTTACTCGTAGTCTGAGGGTCGAGGGTTTGCGCGAAATAAAAAAAAACAAATAAACATAATTCTTCTCGTGATTCATGGCATGCGCTCGATTTACTGACGTCACGACAGTACAAATTGCAAAGTTAAGTGTCCCTTATGTGACGTCATTTTCGTGTCTACTGACTGACTGGCAGACAACACACTACTGTATAGTGGTGCGAGTGGTTAAGGTAGATGGCTTTTCCAAATAAAAATTAGCATGACAGGCAAAACGCAAATTATATATTATGAACATGAAAAAATGCTTATAATTTAACTCAGTTATGAAAGTGTGTTTATTAATTGCAGTAAATAAAATAAGGTGAACTCAGCTTTTGTAATAACACTTGCCTGTCTCGCTGTTAAACCACGAAGGAGGTGTATATTTGTGATGCTACCATGTTTTAGTGTTATATTTTTATAGTAGCAAACACAAGTAGGTCCCCATACAGACTTGATTTGATTATTGGTTATAGATTTGAAATAGTACTGTAGAGGCAATCATGTAAAACTTAATAATGGGTATTTAAATGACAGTTATAGGAGTTGACGATATATTATTTATTGTCATTCACCAGAAGCCTCTTTTAAAGGAGCCTAGAATGACCTAGAACAGTTAATATGATCACTGATTAACCTATCTCACGAGTCCTAAGTACTTCTGAAACTGAACAACAACCAATAATCATAGACTAGTTTATTGACAGTTTGATCTCTAATAGCTTAAAATGTTGTTTAAACAGAAATACATAAATGATCGAATCAAAGTCGCCGATATTGTTTGTTTGTTGTTACACAGGGGCAATCTGTGTTTTGTCCATCTGGTATCGAAACCTGATTTTTATCGTTAGATACCTTCAGATTTACTGCTGAGGCACTGGAAGCCTAGCAAATTGGAAATTTTCTCCCTTTTTTTCACAAATTTATTTTATAAAACAAGTCTACAGACTTGCAAAGGTCAGGATTTCACGTCGTGTTCGTATAAAGTGTTAGTGCTATTAGGAGAAAGGAATAAATAAATAGCGAAACATGAAAAGTATATTTAAAAGCTTTATCATGTATATGAATTGTGAGAATTGTATCTCACACAACCTGTAATAACAAAAAAAATACTTTTAAGCATTGTCGTATATTGTTTAATTGATTTATTAAGAACTACAAAACTCAATCCTGCTGGTAGCGGTGAATCTGCGCTGAGTGTTCAAGTGTTCGTTTTAATTAATAGCATGCGTTACTATTTTTGTTAACTGCTCAATTAAATCAAATAGTAGTTTCCCAGCGGTTCAGCGGTAAATCTGGGGACTCACAGTACTGAAAACCGGGTTTCGATACTTGTGATGGCCATAGCATATTGTGTAGCTTTGCGCTTAAGAACAAACAAATTTTTTCAAAGGATTGGTTTATTGTTTGTTTGAAGTTAGCACAAAGCCACACAAAGGGCTATCTGTATCGAAACCCGGTTTATAGCACTGTAAGTTCGCAGACATGACGCTGTGCCACTGGGAGTGTTTGTTTTGAATTTCACGCAATGCTACACGCGGGCTATCTGCGCTAGTCGTCACTAATTTAGCAGTGATAGACTAGAGGGAAGACATCTAGTTAACACTACCCACCGCCAACTCTTGGGCTACTTTTGTACCAATGAATAATGGGATTGACCGTACCATTACAACGCCCCCACGGCTGAAAGGGTGAGCATGTTCGGTGACCGGGGATTCGAACCCGGGACCCGCAGATTGCGAGACGAGCGCACTAACTACTCAAAGTTTTATTAATTTTTAGTGCCATAATTTGCATTTACAGTTGTTCCCCAGTAATGACATTGTATTATAATATAATATATTATGTTGGTATACAATAGTTAATCTACGGGATGTAGCCTAGTGGTTAGCTTGTCGAGCTGTAGACTGAAGGGGCCGGGTTTCGAAACGTGATTAAACTGAACATACTCGGCACTTTAAGCTGTAAGGGCGTGATAAAAAATAACAGTAAGATTCAAAAGGTCAGAGAAGCCCGGGCGGAGGTGGGTTATGCTAGCTAGCTGCCTTTCTGTTGGTCAGAAATTCAAAATTAGAGATGCTATACCTGAATCCTTGGGGTCTCTATTTACCCAAAATAACCGTTTAGTCAGTTTCTTTGTCTGAGCAACACAATAAAACGTTGAAAACCTACCTGCTATGTATTTTACAATCAGATGTTTTGTTACAAGAGCAAATAATGCGATTTTTATGACTATTAATATATTTCCTGTACTATTAATGATAAAAAGTGAAAGGTTTAAGGCTTTTTTAACAGAGTGCAAATCTTGAGACTTTAAAGAGAGTTGTTGTTTTTACAGCGCAAAGCTACAAAGTGGGCTAATTGCACTCTGTCCACCGCGAAGAATCGAACCGCGAATTTTTGCATTGTAAGACTTTAAAAGGAAATAAAATGGCAACTTTTAGATAACGACAAAATACGCTTATAAAATAACTCAACAAAGACAAGGGAGAGAGACTTGAAGATAAAGTTTTGCAGCGACTTACAAATAGCATGATCGAAGCGTAATCTCACTAACTGGTCTTATTTGTTTTTGTTTTTGTTGTACGAACGTGAATATTTCTTGTCTAAATCATTATGTATACAAATCTTTCCCGTTTCTGTGTGCCAAAGTAATTATTTAATATTTTTTCTTGCTTTAAAAGTTATATAAACTGAAGGTGAAAGCCTAAAATTGATCGCAGTCTTTAGGTCTATTCATTTTCTGCCATCCAAGTTATTATCTAAGGTAATTATGCTAACGAAAATTAATTTAATAACCTCAATGAGTGCAAAGTATAATTTATCTTCATGGTCTTCTTGGTAAGCCTTTCAGCTGGGACTCGCTGTTGGCCACAAGAGAACAAAGAGAGGTCGAATTAAAACAGAGTTCACCCTAATCTGTTGGAATAAATAGTAATTGATAGCCTAACTACGACGAGATGCAAGCTGAAATGTCTGTGGTATTTCGTTTGTTGATAAATCTATAAAGATATTTATATGTTTGTTTATTAGGCTTGAGCCTGTTTTTTATATTACCGATAAAAGTTTCTTAGCTTTTTAAAATCGTTGGATCGTATGTGACTTAACCGTGAACCTCAGGACCCAGGGTTCGCGTTACGTTTCCACAAAAATCGCACTCTGGAGCCGTGGGTGCACCATACGAGTGACAGTCAAATCACTGTTGGTCATACTAGAGTAGCGCGAGAATTGATGATGGGTGTTACTGATTAGCTACCTTCCCTCTAATTTCTATGGTCAAATTTAGGGACGGTTATGCGAAAGTAGCACATTGTATACCTTTGCACAAAAATTCTGACAAAAACAAAATTTACGTCGTGCATATATTTGAAAAGGATTTGTTTGTTTATTTGAAGTTAAGCACAAAGCTACGCAATGGGCTATCTGTGCTCTGCCCACCACGGGTAACGAAACCCGGTTTCTAGCGTTGTAAGAAATATGTACTTAGAGAAAAGATATACAATTACCGTTAATTTAAAAATTATAGTATCAGTTTATTATCTTTCTTTTTGGTCCTATGCACCAGTTGACAAAGTTTGTAAATACGATGTGGTTAATTACGTTGCACGTAGCGATTTCTGCAGATCTTTTTGCTTGCTTTCAAACTAATTTGTACGTTCCTGGCCTTAGTGAGCTAATCTTAATTGTTGTTTTTTTGTTTGTTTTTGTAAGTATTAATGATTCTTTATTTACATATACACTTATAAAACTTTTTGTTGCCATTTACCTCATGTTGATAATGAAAATACCAAAGGACACGTGATTTGTCGGATCAGAACAAGCACATGTCTTATGTACTACTACTAGTACTACATACTCAGGGCTATTTAAACCTGTAAAGTAATAGGTACGTACCTTGTCGTATCAAATCACCCACATATCTTACATATTACAAAACCTCTGTATAAAACAGAGCCTATTCATTTAAAATCTGAGGCCAAAACTCAGTCAGATTAGTTCAGCTTTAAACTGTTAATGGAGAAAACTAAGTAAAAATACCAATAAGTCTGCTTACTTTTTGCTGTTGCTTAGGTAGAGAACGGTGTTGTCTGAGATGATTGAAGTACAGA